AAAAACACCATAATACTAATTATTTAGATGTTACTAAATGAATATATCCGTCCGTGTGGTGACGGATTAAGAATACAAATTGTCACCACCCCAATTCATCCCGTGGGTGTCGTAAGAGCCGACTAAGGGAGCAAACTAAGCAGGACAACAGCACTGCAAAGAGAAGGAAAACTTGAAACAAACCCTATACCAACCCGTCTGGTCAGCGTGGTATAGTAGGCCAAAACCTCCTTTTTAAGGAGAGGCCTATGTCCAGCAGTGGACTAGTATAGGCTGTTGATGATGTGTGATGTGATGTGATGTGAAATGAATATATTGATAGTTGCATAATCTAAATGAGAAAGAACGAAAACAAAATTAAAATCTGACACATATGGAGTTCGTAAACTTTCTCTCGGACCGTAAAGTCGCCGTAAAGTCCGTATATGAAGTCCAACCTAATCCATGTTACGCAACCATCCCCATAACAAACAAAAATGGCTGCCTAACATACTATATAGACTGTAGAAAGTTGTAAGTACATAAGTCAAAAGTGAAACCGACTAGGATCGCATTAGGTGCCGCCCGAGGCTTCGCTCCACTTCCGTCACTTATTATAAGTGGTTGTTTAACTATCGAAAACACTTATGAAATATATTTTGTCTGGTAAAATCATAGTCCATGTAGGTTAAGCCGTCTCTGTCGTAGTTCTTGTCAAATATAGTAATGTCTATGTCGCTTTAATCTCCCCATTCACTTAATAAATCTTGTACTACACAAAAAAAACCTTGAGGTTTCATGAACATGATATTTCGTGTCTGTACCAACGTCTCTTTTCAACATATATTATACCTCAGCCTATGCTTGTCCACTGCTGGACATAGGCCTCTCCCAAATCACTTTTGGGATTCGTACAAGCGTGATATTTGGCTTTAGAAGTGAGTGTGATAATGGAATGAGATATGCAACGGAAGGAACATTCTACAGATGTTTTGTGATAGCTTTTACGAGTTATGTGGTGTATATTTTCACATGTTCACAGCTCGTAACTATTTATAAATTTCCTTTTCAACATATTCCTATTTTATTTAACTTTATTCATAGACCATACCTATATTTATTTTTTTAGTTGTTCGAAAGGTGATAGTGATGACCTAACAAAGAGGTTGTCGATTTTGAAACAAAAATATCAATCGAGTTTATTTAAGAAGTTTAATCGAATTAGAGCACTTAGTGAAAAGTTGATATTAGCTAAAAGTAGATACACAATTGTTTACTAAATGATTTTATCCGCATTTAATATAATATTATACATGATAAATTATTATTAATGTTACTAAGAACTCGAGAGATAAATTTAACATGCATTGATCATTTTTAATTTGCACATTAATGTAAAATTTTATATTTTTTGTAAAAAGATCAAAATTACTTTTTATACGTCCTCTTTATTATTATTTACATTTCTTAGGCAATGTACACTGGTCAGCAAATAAACCGAGCCACCCGCTACCTAGGAACTCTGATTCGATTTTCTCAAAAAGTATAAAACTTACAACTATCAAAGTTATACCTACAAAAAGTGCGTTTCATGGTGATTAAAATGCCCAGCATTAACGGTAGCACACCGTCGAGCACGACTTGAATTTGCTCGAGAGCATAGGGATTGGATATTAGAGCAGTGGAGTAATGTACTCTTCACTGATGAGACCAGGGTGAGTCTACATGGAAGTGATCGACGTCAGAGAGTATATCGTCGCCCTGGAGAACGTTATTCTCAGTGTTGCATCGAGGAAACTGTTGCTTATGGAGGAGGATCTGTAATGGTCTGGGGCGGCATCTCGTTAACAGCACATACAGCGTTAGCTTTCATCGAACCGACGGGCCGTACACGTGGACTGACTTCTCATCGCTACATTACTGAAATCCTCGCAGACCATGTGGTACCTTACGCAGGATATATCGGACAGGATATGCAATTGATGCATGATAATGCACGGCCTCATGTTGCTCATGTGGTGACCCAGTATCTACGCGACGTTAGCATTCGTACGATGGACTGGCCAGCTCGAAGCCCGGACTTGAATCCGATAGAACACTTATGGGATGAGCTGAAACGTCGGGTTCGAGCCCGGGTACCTGCTCCAACAAGGCTTCCAGAGCTGCGAATCGCAATTGAAGAGGAGTGGAATACAATTCCTCAAGATTTTATCGTCAGGCTCGTAAGGTCGATGAATACAAGGATGCTGGCAGTTATCCGAGCAAGGGGAGGGAATACGGAATATTGATCAAAAACTTTTTTTTGATTTTATCTTTGTTTTTGGCTTTAATTTTTTTTTTCACTTTATCATTACTAACGATTGTCACGACTGGAAAACGACTCTTCTTTGTAAAATCCTTAATAAATACTGAAATATTGATTAAACCCAATGAGTTTCCTTTCATTTTAATCACCATGAAACGCACTTTCTGTAGGTACAACTTTGTTAATTGTAGGTTTTTTAGTTTTTGAGAAAATCGAATTAGAGTGCCTAGGTAGCAGGTGGCTCGGTTTATTTGCTGTCCAGTTTATATAATACCTAGGTGACAAATTCGTTTATTTATGGTTAACGGTAACAAAATGAAAAAAATTGTATCTAATATCCATCATCACCATCAACAGCCTATAACAGTACACTGCTCGACATAGGACTCTCCTTAGAAAGGAGGTTTTGGCCTACTATAAAACGCTGGCTGGGTTGATCTAGGGTTTGTTTCAAGTTTTCCTTCTCTTTACAGTGTTGTTGTCCTGCGCAGTTTGCTCCCTTAGTCGGCTCTTACGACACCCACGGGATGAATAGGGGTGGTAACATTCAGTATTCTTAATCCGTCACCACACGGACTAATATCCATATTATCGTTAAAACAAAGTTTAACACTAATAATAGAAATAAAAATGTGGAAAAGTTAAGGTTTAAGGCAAGAAGTTGTGTATTCATATTTGCTCACTATTGATTTAGTTTATGTAGAAACTGTATTTAATGATTTGAACTTTGTCTCTCTGAATAAGCAAATACTGTTACAAGATTCTTCCTAAATCATTTGTACACAGACATTGTCCATTCCTTTATTATCTTTTAATAACGGTGAAAAAAGTATGTTAAGAAAACCGCGTAAGGGGTCTATGGTATTGAAACTGGTTATAGGCTCCAGATTTATGTTGAGACGCAACATTTCTGTTACCAAAGAGTTTGGTCCAAATATCTTATCTAAATTTAAATGGTCTGCCCCTCGCCGTGATCAAATAGAATTAGGCTAGTTACCCGATTCAGTTTTTATAAAATACTGGCTATACCCTGCTACGCCTCGCTGTGGCATATTGTGGTAGCAAAAAGTAGATAAAAACCATCTTTGAAGCTTATAGCGCACCAACCTGTTGGAACCATCTTTGAACTCAATCAATGTAGAACTTTTTGAAAACAACTTAACATTTTTAAATACTCTTAAAAATTATATATGTATAGATGACGACTCTATTGCCACAAAATCAAAACCGTCTGCGTCAACAACCGTTGACACGGTGCATAAACTCCGAGGCACCACCCTTAAATTCCGAAAGGCAATGTTTATGTTGCGCTAAGTCGCGTAAAGATGACATAATGATGGTGTTGCTCTTTGCGACATAGAGCCAAGGCACGGAGCTGTATAATTACTAGCTATCCGCCCGATCGCTAGTAATTATACCACTAAGTTCCTGCCGGCCGTTGCCACCCGGGACGTACGGCCCGACGGCGAACACGGCGACGGCCCCTTTGCCCCCGCATTTTAAACCCCCTAATATTTTCTAAAATATTCGTTTTAATGATATGCTGCAAAGAGCATTTTTAATCTACATTAAATGCACAAAGTATCAAACGTATTTAATTGGATAAGGAATAATAATGTATTCTTTAAAAAAGGCTTCGTAAGTAAGCCTGTAAGTCATTTTCATAGTACAATTAATTAAGAAACTTTTCATACCACGATAGAGGATTATCAGTTTTTCCATAGATTGGTATTCCGTTATTAGATGGCACTGACGTTATTGACGACGACGACCATCTCACGATAGCTGGAGCGCGTTACATAGACCTTTGTAATATAGAATTTTGTATAATATTTATATACTTTATGCAAATGTTTGTGAGTTTGGCAACACCGGGGCCCATACAGCATCCGGTTTTTGGCTCATTTTTATAATTAATTCGAACGAGGCATTCGAATTTCGAATAGAAAACGGTCACACAGATAACTGAATTTTATTTTCTGTATTTAAGAACAGCCACAAAAGAATATGATCTCTAGTCTATGACATCGATTGTATAATAAACATCAGTATTTTTTTAAATGCATAAAATATACAAGTATGAAGCAAAAGATTTGATTTCTCGAAACTTCTTTTCATATAACATGTCTCATTGTAATATGCTCTTCTTAACACAATTTTCTCTACCCTATAAGGGCAGAACCCATGACGTTTTCACATAAAACGGCACAATACATTTCGGACTAATATAATAAATGAATATTTATTAAGTCATTTACATGTGTGCGTGTGTGTTTGTCAAGTGAAGAAATAAGATGTTAATACAAAACCATATTATAATGCAAATGTGTATGTGGGCGTAACTTTCATTCGGACAGGTGCTTCGCCTAGATACGAGACGGATCGTTTACTAAAGACGCCGTGCGAGCGACTGTTAAATGTATAGAATTAAAATAATATCGTTTTCATCGTATCTTTCACTTATAACAATGACGTCACAGTCTATAATCGAATTCGTTTGGTTTATTTGTGTGACTTTGAACACTTTGAACTTATAGGTTTTAATTAAGGAGCAGTCTTTAATTATGTATATGTCACTTTCCATCAGGAGACGCATCTGCTCGTTCGTTAGATCCACGATAGACTAATGATACGACAGATTAAGAAGCGAAAACATTGTGAACAAATCAATTTGCCTTCAAAGTGTTCGTAATGATGTTGTTTCTTTTGTTTTCAGACGACATGGACTATAAGTCTGTGCGTCGGGCTCGACTACGCCTCGGCGTGCGCGCGGCCCAACAGGTCAAGCCGAGGGCGGGCGCTGCCGAACGTGCCCTGTGACTTGGGCAAACACAACTATTGTACTACACCAGGGAACAACTATCCCTGGCACTCGATCAGAAGATTTATTAGAGAAAATCAGGTGAGAAAGCCATGTTTCAGTTTCTTTATTTTAAATGACAAGACTGCTTGCTGCTTGGAAAACAATCTTTAATGACTTCTAAAAATACCCCTCTTATTAACCTCCTTTCTAACGAGAGGCCTATGTCCATCAGTGGACTATTATAGGCTGTTGGTGATGATGATGATGACACATCTTATTGCGTTAAAATCAGCAAAATTTCCAACTTTTGAAACTTAAGAGGCTTCGAAATTTATCAGAATCAATATTTGTTTTAAGGGTCTGATGAAAAGAATGTACGGCGAGGAACGACAAATATCAATAATAAAAGCGGAATTGGATAACTTTATAGAAGATGATGAAGATGATGTTAATAGTAAAACATCAAATTTTGAAGAAGATATCATAAAAACAAAAATGATGTACACCAAGATGAGTCAAGGACGTGCCATGAGAGACAAACCACACTTCAGGCCTATCAATACCGAGAAAAACAAAAAGCTCGACAATGACACGCTAAAAGTTAAACCACTAGAAACACCTCAAAAAAAAGATAACAACACAGGCACCAGCAACAAGACAGAAATAAGCAACGAAACGGTAAATGAAAAAGGTATATCTTATAAAACAAAACTTGAAAGCATTGCAAACATAGAAATCAATAATTTAGATCCTGATGTTATTACTTTAGAAGCTGTTATCAAACAAAGCATTGAAACTAATAGCATATATCCAAAATATTCGAGTAACACTAAAATAGAGGCTGTTAATGATACGAAAATTAATACAGATTCAAATTCGACAACTACAGAAAGTATTAATACTGCAGAGACCACCACTGATGAATATGACTCAACCACAGAAGCTGGGAAAGACGCCTGGAGACCAATGAACGTTGACACCTCAACGTTACCGCCGACCCTTCTCTTCTCTGAGCACGAGAAAGTCAAGATAGATAGGATAGATACAAAAATGTCGGAAAAAAAGGAGGAGTTCCATCCTAAGCCTGTTCAGCATCAGGAGACTGTGAGGCCAGCTGTTATAAAATTAAGAGGAGCGTAAGTTCTGATTCTTTACTTTTAATTTAAGCCTGCTGTAGCCTATTTATAGCTTCGAACTACCTATCCATTTGTTTATTTTTATGTAACTATAATAGTTACATAAAAACCTACCGTTAAATGTACAATGGGCATAGAAAAAAATCGACACATCACTTAACAGGTAGTTAAGTATGTGCATTCTATTAAAATGTCATTAATAAAGTTTTCAATCAAGAAATAAGTTTGATATTAAACATTATATTCAGCGATATTAACAATTTTGCGATTACAAGTTTATTACAAAAGCAATTTTATGTTGCTATTAATGGCTCTTCAGAATTGAGCATAAATAAGCATGCAAGCATTTTTATAGTTTTGTATGTATTTACTTTCGACGGGGTTATGCTGATATTGAATTTTATGAATTAGGTCAGGCAGTAGGTAATGGCAGATGATCATGTCTCTATCCTAGTGGCCTATCCCGTCACATAAAGGAGATAACACCTCTTCGAGCTATTACCATCTCAGTATCTTTTACCTCCCTCGACCAAAAATTTTTTCTTACCCTAATAAAAATTATGAAAGCTATTATATTCCCTATGAGGGTTGACATTAAGCAGGTTGTCTGCCATAAAAGAATCCGAGCCAAATCCTGTTCTATTTTACATATTGAGCCAGTCCTAAATAAAATTGAGAAAGGACATCAAAATGCTGGTACCTATAGACAATTCTTTATATTACTCTCATCTTATTTATGCTCATGATTACCGTTTCAGAAACGCTTGCGAGTCCAAAGAACAAATAGCGGCGCCTTTCTGGGCAAACAGCACACGCGGGGAACTTCTGGCGCTGCTCAACATGTACCCATATGAGCAATACATACACCTTGAGACCTGCGTGCATGAGCGGAAGCAGATGTATTGTCGAGAAGGTTGCAGGTACGTCAAAGTTACATAGTAATTGAAAGCAGAAACTGTGGTAGGAGTACAGAGCACCATCTTGTAGAGGACTAAGTCGATAAATAAATTACAAGTCTAGAATCTACCAGAACTTCGTTAATATAGGCAAAGAGTATAATGTTAACTGTTTTATATTAATGCGTTATATCATAACACGTTCCACACACACAGACATATCTAGTAGTAACACGACTGACTTGTCTCTAGATTTTTTTCGAAAATTGTGGAACAATTATGATTTGTTCCGCTACTTAATAACTGACAAAATTTATCGAATCATCATCATCATCATCAACAGCGTTTAATTGTACACTGCTGGACATAGGCCTCTCCTTAGAAAGGAGGTTTTGGCCTACTATACCACACTGGCCAGACGGGTTGGTATAGGGTTTTCGTCAAGTTTTCCTTCTTTCTGCAGTGTCCAGCGTAGTTTGCTCCCTTAATTGCCTCTTACGACACCCACGGGATGAAAAGGGGTGGTAACAGTCTGTATTCTTAATCCGTCACCACACGGATTATCCGTGTGTTGACGGATTAAGAATACTCGTACTCATCGTTACCGGATTAATCGTGTGGTGACGGTCGAATACCTTCTCATTAATTTAGACTGTTGTTGTTTTCCAATTTATTGTTAATTTTTGAATTGCACGCAATTTGCAAGTCAGAGTATGTTAACTTAATGATTTCAACACCTTCTGGCTACAGTAACGTCATATAAATACCTACAGGCGACACTTACAGAGACGCTCCTTCTTACCTAAGTACAAACAACAATAAAACATATTTAAAAATGGCAACACCTTAGACATTGATGGAACAAATTGCAATAAATCTCAATAGCATAACTGGTAAACCGAAATACCTTAATTATTAAAGGATAATAAAGATTTTAGTAGTGGTACTAAGGCATTGGAATTTTGATTGATTTTTGATCAAAAGTTGCGGAATGAACTGCACCTAGTACCACACTAATGATGTGAAGCCACTCCTAACATGTACTAGCATTTAGCATATTATAATAATAATATATTTTACCACAAACACACAACGCCATCTAGTCCCAAACTAAGCAGAGCTTGTACTATGGGTACTAGACAACTGATATAAATACATTTATACTTTTTTTTTTGTAAATACATACATAATATACATAGAAACACCCAGACCAAATCAAACATCAAATGTTCATGCACACAAATGTTTGACTTGAGCGGGAATCGAACCCGCGACCTTTGGAATAGCAGTAAGTTACACAAACCACTACGCCATCCAGTCGTCATGGTTGCCAGCATGGTTACCAGTTTTTGTTTTTGGTCGAAAAAACGGTTTTCTAACTGGAACTCCAAATGTAATTTCAAATATTTCGGCACACGTCACTCTTCTCTCGAAGTTTTAATCTAAACGCAGAAATATTATAATTTGGCAGCGTTAATTGCCGAATTAACGATGGCGCCATATTACTTGAACAAATCATTATGCATCCTTGTTTTTAATGGCATAGCAACTCATATTACTTTTTGAAATTGAAAGACTAACTGAATTATAATCGGCTATAAGTAAGTATGGGCGTGGGAGGGCCATGTTCTGGCATATATAAGCCGTCTCGACTAGAGTGATACCACCGCTGTTAAGCAATTCTTTCGTTGAGTGAGTGAGTCAAGTTACCGGAATCCAAAGCCAGCAAGGGCTCAATGGCCTGCAACGCACTCGTGACTAATGTATAACCGTCTCTCTCTTTGTCATTTGATACTCTAAGAAAAACATTTGAAGACACCGAAGTTGTCTGGGAGTGTTCTTGCACAGTGAGAAATTATAGGTACGTTAAACAAAAAAAATTAACTATATTTTCTTTGTTCTAGATGTGAACAACAATTCCGTCTCCACCGTCTACTTGCCTACGACCCCAGGAACGAGTGTCGGGGCATCTTCGCAGAGTGGTTCAAGTTCCCTTCCTGCTGCGTCTGCAAGTGTTACGACGTGCCCCTCGAGTTTCGTGCTCGCTCTCCAAGAATATTACATCCGCAGTATGACGAGGAAGTGAAGAGAGTCATATATGAGGATGTAGCCAGAGATTGGTACTCGATGTCTGTCTACGATGATGAAGACGATTTGTTTTAGTAAGTATTTTAAGTTTCCATTAAACATATCTGCTGTTTTAGCTTGCAAAAGTATGTACTCCAGATGTACCTTACTTGTACAGGCAGGATTCAGTTTAAATAACAAATATCTGTCTTTATTTTTTGCTATAAATGAAGTTGACTGCCCTTTAAATATGCGCAGCTCCAAAGGTCAAGAATACCACGTTCCGTGCAAATCGGTCCAGTTTTTCTAGAGATTGGAAAAAACAGACACTAGACAAACATTTAAACATTGTTTTTCGCTAAGAAGTTGGTCATAAGTATTGTGTAAATATTTAGATGAATGTGGTAAAAAGCTGTTTATATGTGTAAATGTTCATCGCTGACTGTTCTTGTTTTTTTTTTTTGTTTCAGAACCCACTTGCATCAGTCTGATACAAAATGACCAGATTATAACGAATTAAGCCCACCTGGATGTATTTTAGAAACATTTTTACAAACAATGATAAATATTTATATTATTGTTGTGCCTATAATAAATTTTATTATACATTGTAATTTATTTGTGAATCTTACACGCCCCGTTAAATAATTATTTTAATTGTTATTTTTCTCCATAGTTTAGTGAACTGTAAATAAATATAATGTATATTTTAATTAATAACTTTTATAAAATATAACACTTATTTTGTAAGGCTAGTGAAATTTTGTAAAAATGTTAACATGATATTATTACACGTTGTTATATAATAAAAATATATTTAATTTTGAGGTTGTATTTTTATTGATTTTTTTTTAAATTATTTTAATATAAAATGCACACATAATACAACACGTACTCGTAATAAAAATAGATACATTGATTTGATTTGCCTGACATTTCGACCAGGTTGCATTGACCGCGGTCACAAGCTGATTCTGTTTTTTTCTGAATCGGTACATAAATGACAGAATTGTGAGGTAACACGAAAAATATAGAACTGTATTAAGAACCTTTTTTAAGCTGGTTAAAACGACCGTGATAACGGTTTTTCAGATAACCTAATGATGCCATAAATGCTACCTACGAGTAATAATTTCTTATTAAGTATTATTAGAAATTATTATCCGAGCGCTTGTATAAAACAACAATTAAAAAAGTATATTAGCTAAGGTTGTTTATAATATATGTATGTATGTCGCATTTATATATGTATATACTCGTAAATAATCTAAGTATATTAGGAACTTAAATCTACTTCACTTTTACAAAAATTACATTACAAATGCAATCATTATTAAAGACGTAACGTTATAGTACTTAAAGTGGTTGCATATTGCATATTCATAAAATAAAACAAAAAATGAATATTTAATTAATCATATAATTCAATAACTTATACGAATTGAAAGCAAAATGTTTTCACTTGCCTGTCTCACTATGTTTAATATTTTTAGTAGTATTTATTAGACTCTCAGATTAAATAAAAAATCAAGATTGAACTTTGCGAAGAACGAAGTATATTGGTTTCTACGCTTACTTATGTGAACTTAATTTCACAACACAATTCAGCATTTTTACCTGTAAATATTGTGATCCCGTTGACAAGGCGTAGTCTCATTTTACGCATGTGCGAACACGTAAAATGAAACTACGCCTTGTGTCTGTACACGCAAAGACGTAGTTTAAATTAGCCTTTTAAATTAGCAATCAGCGCCAATAGAAATGTCATTCACATGTGCTTTCCCAAAACTTATTCGCACTTGTTAAAGAAATTTCATAAAAAACATCTAACTGATTATGTTAACAGTTTGATTTTGAAAGGTTGAAGTATTAAATGAGCTTGGTGGTTTCCACTTTTGGAGAAATGTTTTGCACAATTTCTTCTTTAATTTTTATGATTAAAACTATGAATATTGGCAAACGAAACACTAATCCCCTCGATGACCTAATCAGATAATTCTGTTTTCTGGACTAGCTACAAAAACTACTAATAAATAAAAATTACTTGCTAAAATTAAATTCATTATAACTAATCAGATTTTTACTCCACTAGGAATAAATATAAGATTACTTTTTGGTAAGATTTATTTCTCAATAGTTTGAGGAGGTTAATTTAATGTCTAATAAATATAATATTTTATTTAATTTATTAATGTACTTTTACACGTTCCATAATCTAACAGCGTTCTTCTGGAAGTTTTTCAAGCGGCAACACTGGTCACAGCACATCCAAGCTTGTCAAGAGAACCTTATCTATGCTTTGTAATCAACGGTAGCGACGTTTTCATTTTTCAATTGTTCAGTTTATGTTTAGTTGGTTTTAAATATTTAGCTGTGTTTAGTGTAAGTAGATGTGGACTTGTTTGTAGTTTTAGTTGTAAAATAAAATTTATAATTATGGCTGGAAGAGCTAAAAAAGCGGCACCAAAGAAAAAAGGAGCTGGTTATAAAATGCCCGATCCTATACCTCTCGGGGAAGTGATTAAAGATACTCTCTTCAAAAAAGAGTGGCGGATAGGTCCGTCTATAGGTGTCGGAGGCTTTGGTGAAATATATTCAGCTTGCGATAACACCAGTAAGTCAAAAGCAGACTATCCGTACGCCATCAAAATCGTAAGTAATATTCGAATCGTTAATGTTTTATTTCACGAGAATTATTACTGAATTATTATTATTATTTTGCCTTCAGGAACCGTCGGAAAACGGCCCGTTGTTTGTAGAAAATAACTTTTACATAAGAAATGCGAACAAAGATGATAGTAAGTACAAATTATAGAAAATAATTAAAATGATCTGTTTTTAATATACTCGAGCAATAACCGTTAGCGTGTTTTAATCACCTATTAATAAACGATTCCCAATGAACGGAACCGTTACTGTTTTAGTGGCCAATCCAATAACAATGTGAGTCAGTGCTACACAGTATTCAAACTTCATGATATCCCTGACCCTAACGCTTGCCCTATATCTAGTCCAAATTTTCGATTTCTGTACTGTCTGAAGGTCTATTCCCAAGAAAGGTTAGACCGGGGACTAGCCACTTCAAGGACTGTTTTTATCAATGTTTTGTAACACATAGAATGGTGTAGTGATTTGTGTAACGGACTGCTAATCCAAAGGTTCTGGGTTCGATTCCTGCTCAAGTCAAACATTTGTGTGCATGAACATTTAATGTTTGATTTGGTCTGGGTGTTTCTATGTAAAATATCTATATATTTACAAATAAGAAAAGTATAAATATGTATTTAAATCAGCTTTCTAGTACCATAGTACAAACTCTGCTTAGTTTAGGACTAAATGATGTTGTGTAAATGTGGTACAATATTATTATTGTTATTTATTCACAACAGTTTGTTACTCATTTCCCATCTATCTATACAACTAGAATGTGCGAGAGTGCAGCGTTATAGGGTACTGCTCAAATAAAGTCTCAAACAGTCAGTACGGTCTCAAATAAAATTGTTTACAGCACCGGAAAATCATGAAAATGATATGGATATAACATACTTGGTGTTTTAACTTAAATTATTTATATATTTATATACTTAAACATTCAAGTACTTATCGATGAATGGTTATCTATGTTTAGTGCTTTGTGATAAGTGTGACAGGTTATTTCACTCACAACTGAAAACATTTGATAACACTCATAATGCACTTTTAATAGTGTAACTAATAACATTTAGGGCAATACACATTCCTTTGTAGACCTTTTTTTTTCTGTTCGGCAATGTCGGACTCGAACCGAGTAAAACCGCATGCCGTCTTAGGTACCAGTAGTTGGGGAACCAGGTGTACCCAAAAAAAGAAAGCCCTGGTGCCCCGACGTACCTCGGGCCATCGGCGGCGGGTAAACGCCCCCCCCCTGTGTGGGAACCCTCCTTTGAAGACCTGAACTAAGCTGAGCTCTTTTATATGTTTTCTAGAATATAGATATATATAGAGCTATAAATACAAATATACATATGTATGAATAGAAACATTTGTATTGAATGGGAAATGACACTTGATACCCCTTGTGGCAGTCCTATTCACACAGATCTTAAATTCTTTTTTTTTTTTTTTAAATGTATTATAAATATATTATGTTTGAGGAACATTTACAAAAGTTACAGTTACAATTTAAAAAAAAAATGTGTATTTATAAACTATGAATGGTTAAAACACTTAAGCTAATATAAAAATTTGGTTATATACCTGGCAATATTTATTATATCCAAATATATAGTATATAAAGGAGATCACCAGACCACCAATTCTGATCACCAGAGTACTATGGTTTATTTAAAATTTAGAACGTTAAAATAAACTTAAGGAAACAGATTATTTGTTAATGTAAGCACTGACATTTATTTATGTTTATTAGCTATATTTGTAATGGGTAACGAGGTAAATGTACTGCTGCAAATAAATAATATTCCAGCTGCATGAATACACAACCTAGACAATACAAGGCCATCTGAACCTAAACTAGGCCATGCTACACTAACCAGACTGCTGATAAAAACATGACAATTACTGTTAATTACACAAAATGTAGATAGAAACACCCAATAACAAAACAAATAATTAAATTTCTAAAAAATAAAAACACTACTTCTATATTTCACTACTCACTTTTTGTTAAACTAGCTGTCCATCGCTACTTTGTGCCTCTCAAAAAGAATATTTTTTTTCCGTTGTTGCGATAGTTTTCATTGATGCTCATCCCAATTGGTCATAGTAAGCTTTTACATGGCCTACTATATAGCGTTCTTCTATAAAGAAATATAGTCAAATTGTTCATTTAAGATCAAGATCATTTTGATTTTTACAGAGTCAACAGAAGGTGCATTTTGAAAGCTTTCTAAATTCATTTTGGCATGATATGTGTATGAAATTGTTTCAATGTTAAATTATTAATCAAAGCAATAATGTGTAAATTTAATTTCCAATTTCTTACATTTCAGTTGCTCAATTTATTAAAAGCAAAAAGTTATCAAGTCTTGGTATGCCACTTTACTTTGGCAGAGGCACTCACGAGTGTAAAGGAGTTACATACAGATATCTGGTGCTTGAAAAATATGGCAAAGATGTGTGGAGTCTCTTTAATAATGCTGGAAAATCATTTTTGCCAACTACTGTCTTCCAATTAGGTATACAAATGGTAAGTTTATGCATAAAATATACCAGTAGTTTAGCACTGTATTTGAATGGACCTACAATGCAAGCCTACCTAAATACAGACCTGTCTGTCACATAAATCTCACTCGATAGTGTAACAGTTTGAGTAAGATTTTAGACCAATGCGTTCACGGTTCAGTGCAGAGCGCACTGTAATAAATTCGAAATATATGATGCTACACTGGTGGTGTGGCACCGCAGTGTACCGCTGTTTCTCACGGTGCAGCTCGCCGCCCAACGTCAATGACTCAGTGTGTACAGGTTTACTTCAGCCTCTTAACTGCTCGGATGTCGCCTAAATGGAGAATGTACCCGAAGTTGGTGCCCGCGCTATTGCGGACAGGCGCTAGGAGGGGTCCGGATGTCTTAATAACAGCTGTTCCCGGATCTCTCCTATTATAGGCGCAGAGTGGCACACCGTGTGGTTTTAGTCGGTCCGATTCCGACACACCACCCCGCCGCAAACCCCGGTGGGGTGACGTCCCGAGGGGGTTTCCACACGAGAAAAAAAAAAAAGCCTGTTAACTGCTACTATGGTTATTATCGGTATGAGACGTAAGAAAGAAAAATGTTAAATAATTGTATCACACAATTATTCACGGTTGATACACTAACAATACTGCGGTGGCGGTACGTCGCCGTCGCCGGCGCCGCAGCGCATTACCTCTCTCTGCCGCTCCCGCCGTCTCGCCAAGCATGGTGCACTTGCGGTACGACACGCGCCGGTGCAGTCGTAGTGTGTGGCTTCCTTCGCTCTTACTTCGTAACTACCTTTCCTCATACAGAAAGGATGCAAAATAACAATGATCTCAAAAAATTATTATATTCCTTATCTATAAAATTTTACTTATTGTTATTTGCTATAACTCACCATTAAGAACAAATATTGCTTGTGCTTTACTTTGTTATATCAGTGTATCTTCAGTTCCTATACACGGATAAAGTTAAATGGTTGCTTATGATAAATCTTATAAATGCATTTTATTTACACAGTGTTAGAAAGTGCATTAATAAAAAATACATGTTACTACTTCCTACAGTTTTTCACTACAAATCACCTTATTACTCTTGGACACTGTCCAATGTTATCAATTTGGCATCATAATCAAGTAATTTGGTAATAAAGCGAGATATAAATTCACATTTTGTAAGCAATAATAATAAATTTGTAATTGACCAATGAAGACAACTCCCACACTAGGAATATATCCTGTGTCACGGGGGACTTTACAAACATTCATTCAAACGAACACAAAGAACACCCAGACTCAGAACAACAATTATGGATCACACAAAATGTTGTTTCATGTGGGGATCGAAACCACAACATTCAGTGCTGTAAGAAGCGGCGAAGTGACCGCTTGAACCACTACGCCATCCGTGCAGTGATGCAGATTCTGTAGTACCAACAAGGAACCCTTAGTATACCATGGTGGTAGTCACTTACCCACCTCTATGCCATAAAAACTAAGCAAAAAATTTTAATACTCAATCTCTCTGAATTTCAGTTAGATGTCCTAGAATACATCCACAGCCGAGGTTACGTCCACGCAGACATAAAAGGCGCCAACATGCTATTAGGTCTCAAGAAAGGGTCTGAAAATCAGGTATACCTTGTGGACTTTGGCCTGGCCACCCGAGTGAGGGAAGACCAGCCCTTCACTCCCAACCCCAAGTGTGCACACAATGGCACTATTGAGTACACAAGTAGAGATGCACACTTAGGAGGTAAGACAGTTTTGTTATCTAGCTATTTCTAACCAAATTCAAAATAACTTGAAAAAAGTGTTACCAACTTTAATGCACCTACAACATAATGAATTGTGCCAACACCCCCATTCATCCAGTGGGTGTCGTAAGAGCTTACTAAGAGAGCAAACTACGCAGGACCACAGCACTGCGAAGCGAAAGCAAAACTTGACACAAACCCATTATAAAGCCGCCATGCCAGGAGTATAGTAGGCCAAAACCTAAGGAAAGGCCTATGGCCACCAGTGGAGTATTGGATGTTGATTTTTCGTTACTTACTTTATTTTCACCTTTAAGGGTGGATTTTTTTTCTTCAAACTTATCCTGTCCTGTGTGTTTAACAAAAAAATATCCAAATAGGTTCATAAAAGATGGAGTTCTGAGCTAACAAATGTAAAATATACTTTTTTTAAAAGCGACTACAGTCAGTTGTATTAAACTTCTTATCATAATGTAAAGGCACATTGAAGTCGGCCATACTTTTTAAATTAATTTGTTAATAGAATAACAACACAAAACATCTACAAACCAGTTACCGGATTTTTGATATTAATCCGCTCATTCCTTCTCACATTCTGACAAGAGTCTGAAGGTCAATCTCATACATTGCAAGTGTATGGTAGTATTGGGAACTTTCTGATAAATAGAGATCAAATCCCTTGCCTTCAGAGCCCACAATGCGGGGAGACCTCGAGATCTTGGGCTACAACATGCTGCACTGGCTCATCGGCGAACTGCCCTGGGAGAAGTCGCTCAAGACACCACAGACGGTGCAGACATTGAAAGAGAACTTTATGAAAGATGTCCGGAAAAATGTTTCAAAGTACAGTAATGTGCCAGGTGAGTAAATTAATATAAAAGTACCTCATATTTATTGTTTTTTTTTTTCATAATTTCCTTTGATGTAATTTTTTTTTCAAGGCAAGGAGTAGTGTCAGAAATTTGATTTGATTTATTGAAAGTTAAAATACAATTACACTTCTTACAATTAAAATGCTCATTAATTAGTGGAAACCTGAACCTGAACTAGATGTATGTCTGTATTTTAGGTTACCAGGATTCCACCCTAGTTACAATTAGTTTTAGTAGTATCGCTATTAGGTAAACATTAAAAAAATTTGAAATGAGAATGTCACTCCATTTGGTCAATTCTCAAACACATTTAACATAATAGATAGTTGTCTAAACAGTCGCCTTCGGCTGCTGATGTAGAGAGTGTATAGAATACAATTAATTAAATCTACACACTTGTCTTCCAAATCAAATGAACTACAATATCAACCAACATGACCTTCGTAATTTAATTACGTAAATATTCATGATTATTGCATTAATATTAATAATAATAATAATAATAATAATAGCCTTTTATTTCCCATAACAAGTAACTCAACATTTGGTAGATTTTTATAACAACAAACTAATTTCACTTCACTTGTGGAATTTACATAGGTATATCTTTTTATTTATTTTTATTTATTTATTTGATTCTTACTTTATTTCATTTTCTCTATTTCATTTTTAATTTTTAAAGGGGAACCCACTTCTGGGTGAAGGCCTCCTCCATTTCTGACCATAGGTTTCTGTTTTTGGCTAGTCTCGTCCAGTTTGGCCCAGCAAGGGCCACGATATCGTCGCGCCATCGTCGTTTTGGCCTGCCGCGTGGTCTAACTGCATCTCGTGGGTACCAGTGCAGGACTCTCTCACTCCATCGTCCATCGGTTGTTCTCGCTATGTGTCCAGCCCATCTCCATTTCAATCTGCATAATACCTCAGCGGCATCTATGACTTTAGTTATTTTTCTTATGTCGGTGTTTCGTTTTCGATCGCTTAGCTTAAAACCTAGCAGGCTTCTTTCTGTCGCAGACTGGAATACTTTAATTTTATGTATTATTTCTTTTGTAAGCGCCCAGCTTTGGCAGCCGTACAGTAAAGTAGGTAAAACCACAGTATCCATTGCTTTTTTCTTTAGTTTGACAGGAAGTTTCGATTTAAATACTTCTTTGAGCGACCAATACTTAGCCCAAGCTTTCTTTACGCGACTTTCAACTTCTCTTTTCGTCTGATCATTGAAGCATATAATTTGTCCCAAGTATGTATATTCATCAACATACTGTACTTCTCTTGATTGTATAACCAAAGGGATCTTCTCTCTATTGGTCATAACGCAGGTCTTATTAGGATTCATATGTAATCCGCACTTTTGACTCTCTATGTTCAACGTCTTCAGTAGGTACTCCAAGTCTTCATATCCTTCCGCCATATGCATTAATATTAGTACCTATTAAAATTTTAATCTTTGTGGTAATGTTATACAATTTCACTACAGATTCTGCTTTGTACAATATTAATAACATGAAACCGGTATAAAACAATATGTAATATTATGAACATGTGTTTATTTTCAGAGGCCTTAATCAAATTCCTCGAGTACATCAATTCTATGAAACCAAAAGACGTACCTGACTACGCGAAGTGCCGCAAAATATTAGAGGATTACCTCAAAAAGCAAGGTGTAAAAAGTTCTACCAAATTAGATTTCTCTAATTCTAAGAAGTTGTCTAAAATTAAAGCAAACATATCAGAAGATGTGGAAGTATTGGATAATGAAACAGTTAAGGAAGTACAGAACGGAGATGTACCCAAGAAACGCTCACGAAAGGTCAAAGTTACTTCTGAAGTAGACACAGAGAACAGACAACCTGAAACACAAAAGGAAACAAAGAAGAGTAACAAAAGGAAATCTTCTGAACCTATCGTAGTGGTTAATGTTAAGAAGACCCGATTAAAACCCAGTGCCACACCACCAGCTAAGAAGAACCACACAAATATCGCCACACAAACATCCATAGAGAAACCGACGAGACGTTCTCCGAGAGTGCAGACCTCCCGCCATGTGTCATTCGATAGTCCCATTAGTGAAATTGTTGGTGATAAAACTGGAGATTCGATCAACTCCAGCGGAGACATCTTTGATGATTCGTTTACTATCAAGGAGGTTAAAGTTAAGCCTAGGAAGAAGTTATTATCTAAGAAGGAAGAAGAGATTACAGTTGAAAGGGTAGTTAAGAAGAAAGTGAGGAGTGTGAAGAAGCTTAAATCATGGAAAGATTCGGCGACAATAGTCAATGGACGGTCACCGCCTACGTAACGTAACGTACGTAACGTTGTGACCTAAGTTTAGTACCGTACAATGCGTGTATGTTTGTGAGATCGATTTTTTTTTAAAATACAAATTCATTTCGATTCAATTTTGTATACTGTTTCTAGCTAAGCTGATGATAAACGTACAAATTATAAACAGACTATAGTCAATACGCAATAGTGCCATTAATATTGTACCTACTGTAAACTTAAATTAGCTTTAACTCAATATAAGAATGATCATATCTTGTAATAAAATGAAATATCCAGGCCAGGTTTTGTCTGCATTGTCTATCTAACGTCAAGTCTTGACTGATTAATTTATTAATTATACCAGCTTGTGCAAGCGACTTCGTTCGCGTAGGATTTGAAAAGCGCTGTCTTAGTGGGTTCGATTCCCGGGCCGGACAAAATTTTTTAGTCTCTTTTTGATAAAAAAAAATAGTCTCAAGTTACTACTTATATAGACAGCTACCTGGTAGTAAAATATTATCAAAATCGGTCAAGACAGACAGACAAAAAATATTTTAATTGCTTTTTAGTCATAGGTATAGTGCAAATAACTGTGTGGGTATGAAATAAACCTCTTATTTTGACATTACAAACAGACACTTCAATTTTATTTATTTGTATAGAGTAGTAACTGTACCCTGCCACGTTTTGCTGTGGCACATTGTCGAGTTACGAGGAACAAAATGCGGATGATGGACGCGAAAAATAGATATATAAAAACCTGTATATTGTAACTTGGTTCAAATTTTAACTTAATTGGTGCAGAATTTTTGAAGAATACACAAACCAACATAACGTTTTTTATGTGTATATAGATAACACTTGTATTCCTGAGGCTTCGTGCGCCTTAAAGTTATTTCAACATCTCTCAGATACGATATCATGATGATCAGTTGAGTAGTTACGGCCTTAAAACGTAACCAAGCTGATATCCGCAGTTATACTACCTATTAGTATAAAGTGACATATTGCCTTGACATAAGCCTGAATACAGTACAGCTCTCATAATATTTTACAAAGCTTTAACTCATAAAAGCAATATTTCATTAGAGATACTTACAAGAAGACAAATAGAATTAGTGAATTATTAATGAACACTAGGTATTTGCGTCCTGTTCAATATATTTATTGTTATATACTTGTCCTAATTGCCTCGGTGGTGCAGTAGTAACGTGTGCCGAGGTCTCGGGCTCGATTCCCGGGTCGAAACAAATGTTTGTAGAATCTGCAAATATGTGTTTCCGACTTTAGGTGTTTAAAAAAAAAGTTTATAAGTATTCCATCAATAATTCTAATTTTCACAGTACACGATCAGCTTAATTTGAAATTAGATGGCGTTGTGTGTCAGATGACCGAAGCAATATTTTAAATTGCTGTAAAGCTCCATCCACAGTAAGATGGCGGCCCGTCGCAGCCGGAGCCACAGAGTACAGATATTAGAGAGCCATAGTGTTCGATGTTAAGTTTATGTAATGTTGATTGTAAAACATATTCAAATTTGTTGAAAGTTCGATGTTGCTGTTATATAATACTATAGTTATTGTGATTTGAGTTACTCGTTACTTAAAATACGGACACAGAAAATCGCAAACAGTTTCAACCAATTTATTTCTTAGCAACCTGCAGTGCGTTTGACTGCAGTTTTAGAAGGTCATAGTTAAAGTTAAGTGACTAATTATTAAATGAAACTGTCCAAGTGTGTGTTTAACAAGCACATGAAGGGTTTCGTATCTAATAACAGCGCCAAAAATTAAAAAAAACATGTTTTATGAATGGCTGTATAATAATTTTATAGCGGCGAAAAAACACTGAAAACTGACTGTACACTAGATGAGAGGCAGACGGGCAGCGGAGGCTTAGTAATAGGGTTCCGTTGGCATTTTTTGGGTAAGAAACTAACGTTTTCAAAACATCGCACTTCAACACCGCACATGCCTTTTATATTTAAAATACTATAGAACAATATCAACTGTGGAACATGTTCTAAATAATTAGTTTTATTTGTGTTTATTGTTGATTGTAATTGTGACAAAAATATCTCTTCTTGCAACAGTTTGCAATACTCGTTGTAATACAAATGTAATTAGAGAACAATACGGGTGTTACCCACTTACTGCAATCTTTGAGATAATTCTGGTGTCTAATTCAATAAAGATAGCATAATACGTTTTGTGTTAGTAATGGTAGTTTCAAAGAATAGGGGTATTGACATTTATCATAAATACAGTTTAACTAACAGTCACTACAGTTTAGGTAACTTAATTATTAATTGAGACCTTAAATCTTAAAACTCATGTTTTTACTCTTTTTTTTTATTCTCTATGGAGAACTGTCAGTTAATCGGTTAATGGCGTAATCAAATACGATGCGAGTGTTTTGGCGGGAAATTGAAAAGTAACATGTTTTTTTATGTTTCTCATCAGGTTTATTTTTCCATTGTTTTTGCGTTAAAAAATGCGCTATAAAATGAGCTGTTTAGAACATTTGTCAATATCCCTATTGCAAACAAGTTACATAGTGTTGTTGTACGTTTATTTTACGCGGGACGTGATTGTTATGAAATAAATTTTTATTTTATGCATTCTAATGTTCTGAAATTGTAATTTATAACAAAATTTTGCAGATCACTGTTCAGTGATATTGTTGATGCATTTGTTTTTGTACGTGTGGTAATCATTTGTAATTATTATGCAAAATAAACAGTATTTCTTTATATCATTCTTTTATCTGAAATAATACTAAATAACTGAAATAATACTGATTGCTACACCAGAGGTCGTGGGTTCGATTCCCACCCAGGACAAATAATTGTGTGATGAGCACGATCGCTTGTTCTGTGTCTGGGTGTAATTTATCTATATTATGTATGTATTTAGAAATATATATGTATGTTTATCAGCGGTCTGGTTACCATAGTACAGGCTCTGCCTAGTTTGGGATCAGACTGCCGTGTGTGAGATATGTGAAACTATTATTTTAAAAAAAAATACACCTTTATATACTTATAGGGCTAAATAATTCAGACGGCAGGATCTACACAATTTCTAAATTGTCCAGATCACGTTCGGATCCGTTGGCCTGTCAAAAAACACGGACTTTAAACTTTCACAACTGGTTCTTCTTTTCATCTAGGAACAGAAAACTTTTTTTTAAGAACTAAGGTAGGTAGAGTTAACAGAGACCTACCTATGTTGACAGACAACCAAAGTAATTCCATAAGGAATCATTGTTACTCGACTGGTCAAGAGAGTTTCCTTTTTAGAACGGGTGCCCTAAAAAGACTACCGGTTATTACCATGAGAACATACTGTTACGAGCCGGGAATTTGATGATTAAAAATAGGCGTTAATTACCAAAATTGTTGTATGTATAGCTGTATTTATAAACACACACTATTAGTTAACTATAACTTTACAAAAAAACTCCTTAGTCGCACTAGAATATCGATATTAATCCGCTGTCTCGTAAAACAATACTGTGTGGTACTAGCGCTGATCGTCACACCGTCCCGCAGAGGACGTGTGGTGGCTAGATCGGGGCTGCCCCCTGCCAGTGGCTTCTTTCGCTACCCCTAAACAGGGGTAGGTCATGGGATGTCCTTAACAGTGTTGGTTGTTGTGTGGGGGATCTTTACGCACCCTGGCGATCAGCCCGAGCCAGGGGATGCCCAGCTCCGAGCGACCAGCGACAAAGGCGGCGAGTTACACGTGGTTCCCCACAGTTTCAAGTCCGGGATGTGTTGCGGCAGTTCATCGCACGCAGTCTGCGGGGTGCCTCGTTGTGTTGCTCTTGCTGTGGCGGCAGCCCTCTACGCAAGCGCACGTTGCACCTACTTGACCCAAGTAGGCACATGTGCCCGCGGGCCGCGGAAGTGGTCGCAGCCGCAAGAGCTGTGTGCGGCGCTTGCTCTCACACTCGACGTTGGCGAGCGCGGTGGGCGCTCGAGTCTGCGGAGCGTAAATTCTCGGAAGTCTTCGGGCGCTGCGGCGATGTTGCTTGGTCGACGTGTGGGCGAATCCCTGTGTAGTACGGCCAATACGCTCCGCTCATATATACAACCACAGCCTTCAGTAGTCCGCTGTTGTACTTTCTTGCCACTTCAGTATTTAAAATATTACCGTAATCGTTCGGAAATAAATGTGTGCGTTACCCCAGCAAAATAATGTCGAAAATGGTCATTTAAACTTTATAGATAATTAGTTGCTCCCCTTCTGTAATTGTTAGACACATTTTTAAATTTGTTTCACTTAAACTTTTTTAGTTATTTCAAAAAAACATTTCCTGCTGGGGTAACGTTTGAAACGTTACCGCAGCCAGACATTTTCTTTTTTAATTGTAATATTTAAATAAATTTTAGCTAGATAATTAGTTATCTGGACTAGGTAAATGTTACAACTTATTTGGTATTTGTATTTTCTTCGGCTGCGAAGTTATTCGAAATCCTGCTGGAGTAACGTTTGTGGGTTTGCTGGATCTCTGAAACGGGTAAGCGGATTGTAACCATCTTTTGTACATAACTTCTTAAGGATTAGTTTTAATTTGTTCGACAATAAAATAACAAAAATAATGGACCGTTTAAAAATTATTTAGGTAAGTATGAAAACACTTCAATACGTCCTAACACTTTAAATAAGACCTCTAAAGACTTACTTGAAACGTTATTCTATTGCTTGTAACTACCTTCAAATGTATACGAATTTTCGTAAGGATACTGTAAGTGACTAAAAAGTTATGATGAAATGTAGCTCTCCACGTTCACGATCACAATGTGTGCGGCCTTTTTTGGCCACCGATAAACCTGTGTGTGGATATATAAACTGAATGTTATGCCAATAATTAGTTGTTTAGTTCAGTTGTCTACCTGTAGAATTTCAGCGTCGTACATATAATAATTTACGAGATAATTAAATAAAAGTCATTTGAAGGTGCAAGTCCGTGGTAATCCGACCATGTTTAGGTGGTTACAAAAAAGCGATCACCCAGTACATTGCGCTG